TTACCTGCTCCAAGTGTGCTTATTACTATGTAAGCAGGTCAGTCCTCATTTGTGTAAAATAAAAAAAGAAGAAGAAGAAGAAACTGTTCAGAGATGTATCCTGAAGTCATATTTGTTTAGTTTGACAAGATAAATCAATTCTCCCAGCAATGGAGTGAAGCTTTAATGCACAGCAGGCTTGTGTTATAGAATTAAACTCTTTCTTTATGCTTTCTTTTATTCATGGTATTATATTACTGGATGGCCTGTCAGCACTGAAGCCACTGGGGTTACTATAGGGATGGCTAGGAAATCGATGCTGTACATTACCGGAATGCTGCCTTGCTGTTAAGAGTCTTTGGACACAGAGGAATTTAAAAGGTTCATAGGGAAAAAAACGGGAATGTCCACATGATCCCGGCGGATTCTGGGAATTGTCTACAGACGTCCATGCTGACAAAAGGAAAGAGGAAACCCATGCATTACAGATACTGTAGATGATACTTATTGACGCGTGGCATGAAGACTGTGATCCTGGTGATGCTGAAGGAAACTGCTGCTGGCTTTATTAATAAATGGTACTTAGTGTTTGTTTTCCTGAGGACATTTTGTTTTACGAAGTGACCTTGCGAGGCATAAACCTGCCAGTAAAGCTGTGTTGAAAGTGCTGTGATTAAAGGTTGGCTGCAACACTGGGTTTACAGAGTCATTTAAATCTGCCTGTTTTCATGAGGTTTGATTACTAATTTAATTTGGAGTTTACTTGAGGAAGCATTCGTTCTCAGGATCATATGTGTAAACTGCTTAGTAGTGGATCCTGCCTGTCCAGGGAACCAAGATATTAAGCAGCACAGCAAATCGTGAGGGTATGATACAGTTTGAGGGTCTAAACTGCTCCTGAGGTCAGCGCCATAAAAGACAGAGCACTGAAAAGATAATCAACCCCAGCACTGGCCCTTAACTCTGCCCAATTGAACGACTAATAACCATGTACGGCTCGGCTTGCATTTACAATAGAAATAAATTACAGTGTCTGACAGCTCAGAGTCTTGGTGTTTTTAAGTCGCTGCTTTGCATTTGCGAGGAAGGCGTGGTAATTCTGTTTTCTTTCACTTGTGTTGCTAGATTTGTGGCAAATGCATTTATCAAAGACACAGAGTGCACCGAAGCCACTTCGGCTCTTCTAAAGTTCAACAGCAGGATGTGTGTATTGTTTTGATCAGTTTTTATGCAACATTTGTAAACACATTAGATTTCTTGTGGCTTTGGCAAATGGCTTTTAATGGAGTGGGAGGGTCTTTTTTTTTTTTAAGTGCAACCGTGACATCCTGCAAATTGCTGTTTTGTTTGAATACATTATCAATTCTTAAGAGAAGAAAAGTAGAGTTTTAAATGTTTCTGCTTCAATAAACTAGCTTGGAAATCAAGGAGAAACATTAGCAGGCTTGGAATTTAAACTTGTCACTGTTGAGAAGATTTAGACAACTTTGATTTTAAGGTACAATAAAGCTCAACAATTTCACAGCCATTATGAATCATGTTTACATTCATTTGCTCGCATCTGATTTGTAACTGCTTGTTCATAACAATACAGTGCCTACACACTGTCCTGCACACGTGTCCTCTGTCGTCTCTACAGTAAAGTTGTGTTGAATTAGCTCTCAAAGCCATAACAGTTTTACACACACTGTTAAAAACCCAGTTTACCCACACTGGAGTTAATTTAACAGACAATTTTACTGTGACCATTTCATTTTGGGGGCATTTGGGCAGACTCACAGCTGATGACAGTAGATGATGTTTATTTGCTTCTGCGCTGGTGACAGTCGTGGCTGAAGTCATTATAATTGTGGGTTATCCATCCATCCGTCTGTCCCTGAACGCCTCCAGGGAACTTCTTCAAATTTGGCACAAATGTCCACTTGGACTGAAGAATGAGCTGATTAGATTTTGGTGGTCAAAAAGGTCACTGTGAGCTCATCCATCTCGTTCTTGTGAATGCACAATCTCAAGAACACCTTGAGGGACTTTCATAAAATTGGCACAAATGTCCACTTTGACTCAGAGTTGATTAGATTTTGGTGGTCAAACGTCACTGTGACCTCACAAAACATGTTTTTGGCTATAACTCAAGGATTTATATGCTAATTATGACAAATTTTCACACAAATGCCTAATATGATAAAATCATGAAGTGATGACATGTTATTTTGAAAAGCTCAAAGGTCACTGTGACATCATAATGTTCTGCAAAAACATTTTTCTAGCCGTTACTCAACGCCATCACTCAGGAACAGAAGTGGAGACATTTGGTCAGATACTGAATTGGTGACACTAATCTCCGGTGTCCACCTTGAAACTGCACTGATTGTGCAGATCTTCTGCACTGCCAGGTTGAAGATGTGTGTCTTACAAAAACAAGGAAATATGACCACATTACTCCAGTTCTAAAATCATTACACTGGTCACCTATCACAAAGAGAACTGATTTCAAAATCTCCCTGCCGGTGTATAAATCACTCTGTGACTCAGCATCCAAATACATATCTGACATGCTTGTGACTTACGAACCCTCTAGGACCCTGAGGAAATCTGGGGCCGGCTAAGTGACCGTCCCAAGAGTCAGAACAAAGCATGGTGAAGCAGCGTTTGTTATCATGCTGCACAAACCTGGAATAACCTCCCAGATGATGTTAGACAAGCTCTGACCACTTTTAAGTCAAAGCTAAATACACTCCTCTTTTACACTGCCTACTCATCCCTGTAATCACTGCAAACTTATTTTTTAACTCAGTTTTAAAGCATTTAAATCATTTTTGTATCTTTGCACCTCTTGTCTGCACTTTTGCTATTTTTAATGGTGATTTTTCAAAATTGTAAATAATTTAGTAATTAATTTTACCTTTTATATCAGTTGTTTTCTCTTTAGTCTTCTATTGTAAATCTGTATCCTTTTCATTTATTGTTTCTGGAAAGCACTTTGACTTGCCCTGGTGTATAACATGTGCTATACAAATTGGGGATGTTCCTGGCAACTAGTTTAGCTGTAATCATGACTAGTCGACTAGTCTAAAAAAAGGAAAGCCTCCAGCCCAGAGGTAATCATTTTGCGTCTTGGTACAAAAGCATATCTTGTGAGGTCATTGTCGTGATGAGCTGAATGTGGTCGCCCATTGCTCCAGTTGTGTGATTATAAGCCAGTTTGTTCTGACACAGCCTACATGCTATCTTGTTTTCATTTTCTCGATCAAAGTACTGCCAAACTGCAGTGGTTTTGCGAGAGGACAACTCTCCAATTTCGTGCTGTGTAAAAACTCAGTCTAGGGGGAGTGCTGTCTGACGGCTCTGTAGCCCCCACTAGTGGCAGGCAGCTGCATGACAGTGAAGCGGCCTTCTACATAAATAAAACACTAATTGGTTTTACTCACTGATATTTCTGGTGCTGATTAGCGGATGGTTAATCATTTAAAAGTCTAGTCACACGCATGCCTACTGTAATACAAATAAAGCTGGCTTGCCTTGAAGCATCCATGTTTTTGAATTTGGAGCTTGTTTGCAGTAGCATCCATATTTGAAACACTGTCATGGCAACACGAGTCTGGACAGACATGTATGTTAACTTGACTGGTTTGCAGAGGCACAAAACCAAAAGGCAGTAATTCTTGTTTTTCCCTAGACTGCATGGATTTTTATTCCTAGGAGTTATCATGTGCCGTGTTTCCTCAAATACCTGACCTATTAAACAAGCCATTTTTTAATTTTTGCTGGCTGTGCATGAAACTTGTAATGCCTTTTTGCAAGTTAAGAGGTGAAACTAATCGATTAAGGCAATCAAATTAGTAGAAACATACATCCCAATCAATTCCCTGTATTGCTGAGATGGACAAGAAAATGTTCATAATTGCACGACTGTCCGTTGTTGTCTTAGACATACCCTCTAGATAATGCAGCAAGATGATACTGATGCAATTAAATCCTATGGGTTTTGGTCAGACCTCTGACACACACAAATCTGTGGGGGGGTAGTAAATAAGTCTGGGCTCAAAGCCTGACTCACAGGTTTCCAACTCTGACTCACAGGTTCAAAACAAAAATCAATAGTGTGACCTATTCAAGGGAACAACACACTCAAATAAATAATTCTCTTTATTCTTATGACAAAGGAGAGTGTAGTCGATACTTGTAGAACACGAACAACTCTCTCCCAAATGCTGGAAAACACTGAGTCTGGTGTCCGGACATGATGAATACCCTCTTTCTGTTGCAGAAAAATGCACTCTTATCCATTTGATGTAGCTCTGGAATATAATGTACACAACATCCAAATATTGACTAGGGGCAATCCAAAACACATTTCGGCTGCAAGTTAACTAAGGGCATTTTTTTCACCCCTCACTTTTCAACCCCGTTTCAACATGTTACAGAATTGCTGAGTACTAGGGGACTGCATTGAGGGAGAGAAAGCAAATTTGGTCAGCGCAAATAGACAGAGATGGGTATGCTATTAATGGTCCTTTCCTCAGAGACGCTCTGCAGTGGGCTCTCATCACTAAATCTGTGAATCCTCGTTCCCTCACACCACAATTTTATAACAAGTTGTGAAGCTGGAGAGGGGGTTTGTAGCTTGGCTCAGAAACAGGAAGCAAAGGGATGAGAGAGACCTCAAAGTGGTAATCAAAATCAGTGCCGTCATTCGTTAGCACTCCGAGTGGGGACCTTGTGGATAACAAGCAATGGGGCAATAAGCAGAATGAAGGAGTGTGAAATGATATGGGAACATGAACAGACAGCAGCGCTGGCCCTCCTCAAAGGACCAGGACAACATGGCTGTCAACATCTATTTTGCTCCCATCATTAACACTATAACAGCATTAGCTTGAGGTCCCCTTGCAGTCTCATTTCATCTCAGAGCGTTATGGGAGCGGCTCGAGTTTGTACTGTGTTGTCCAAGCCTGGAGTTCAGCTTTACGTTACAATTTGCCCCTTAAAACAACAATAACATTTTGTTTTTTCATCCTCAGGGATTGCTGGCACCCCGGTGGTCTTCAACGTGAACGGAGATGCTCCAGGTCGCTACGAAATCTACCAGTACCAGATCACAAATACCACAACAGAGTACAAGATCATTGGCCACTGGACAGATCAACTCCACTTAGATGTATGAATATTTTAAATACTACTTCTACTCCTTATAAGCTTGACTTTTCTAATAATCTAAGTGCCAGATTTTTGTGCTGGTGATTGTGCTCGATATCCACATTAGACTTTGACAATCAGCCAAAGTGATTCATCAGACAACCCATATTTGGCTGTTTAGCATTTCATTACTAATTCAACTCATTTAGTCTTGACAAGAAAATACAAAAACACTTGGCAATAAAACCCCTTCTTAAGCTTCACTAACTGGAAAGATGAATGTTGTGACCATGAGTCTTGTAGAGAAGTACTGAATGGAGGACTGGAGGAGGAACTAGAGGAGGAACATTCCCCTTCATCAATTAGGACAAAAGCCAAAGTAATCTCAAAGCATACATTCTTATCTGAGTTCATTTCCTTCAAACAGTGCCAAATCATCCTCTTAACCATTAAATGTGGCATTTACACCAAATCTAATACACATAGCAGAACTTCATGTGTTTACCTTCTTATAACTTATCAGTGTTACCAAAGATTATGCTGAACGCATCATGTTTATGTTGGTTTTTATAGGGTAACAGCTGACAAATAAGTATTAATAATTAATCATCCTCCTCTGGAATGGCTTAAGAATTTATAAACACACAGGCTAACAAATGGCTTGGGTCAAAACAGAGTGTGTTGTACAGTATTTCCTCATTTCAGTCACAATTATGCCCATGTAAGAAGGTCTCCATAGGCGTAAATAGCCATCTTTTTGCAGTAACCTTCAAGATTCATGCTTCTTTATTGGTCACTGCAAATTCAGCATAGATGGAAGCAAAATATCATTCTCCATATACAACAGAAGAGACAGAGTTAAAAGAACCGACAAAGAAATAGCTAAAAGAGAGAGATATATTTTTTAAAATAAAAAGTAGAATATTCACAGATTACAGATAAGAAATGTAATAAATGGTAGGAAAGACAGTCTGAATAACTTTTTCTTTGGATTATCTTGTGACAGACAGACACAGGAAGAGGCTTGTAAACTTGCGTTTTCCAGGTGGTTAAAGATGCGGCGTGTGTACGGCCCCCTTATTTCCAGGGCTGGTACCTGCAGTTATTCCACAGCCTAGTTAATAACTTGTCGGGCAGGGAATCTAAAGTGTGGGATCATTCTGAGAAGGTGAAGAACGAACCCAAGGTGATATGTAAACTCATCGTCATTGGTCGACTACAAATATGACGTATCATCTGAAACATGGAAGTAGCTACATGCCCATTAGCCACTTAGCACAATCATTACTGCTTTGCCGACAGCGTCATTAACAGGCAACACGGTCAAATTAATATCGTAAACACGCGGGCGACTAGTCGACTAATGGCCCTAAATAACGACTATTAGTCGACTAGCATAATTCTAAGGCAGGGGCAGTCGTACAATTATGCAATCAACAAAATCTTATTTTGACATTTGCCATTATTACACCAGTTTCGTCTTCAACATATATTTCAGAATCAACATTAATTCTCAGTTATTCTCAGACAAGGACATTTAAACTTAGTGATAGGCCAAGTTTTGTGACTACAACAGTTTGACCACTCATGACAGGCTTACACATTCTCTTGCAAGATGTCAAAAAAGTTAGTTTAGATCCATCAAATGAAAACTGATGTTTCATAAGAATTTCAAAATGTCTCTCATCACCCCTTCATCCATCGAAGCTTCGATTAATGGCAGATATTACTAACTGAAGCTTTGATGCCCCAAAACTGGTGTTCAGGACAGCCCTAATATGCACGGAGCACAGAATCTTAAGTTTTGCATTTGTTTACCTCAAAACTGCTTTGTTGTTAAAAGCCAAACTTTGTGAGGAACTATGACTTTGCATCTTCTTGTCGTTCTGCATCATTTATACACCAGGCCCCGGGCGTTCTTCTTTAGTTGATGCACGTACTGTAGGTATGGTACAAGATTATTGTAGACATCAAAATCCTGAGTTACTGCCGCACACTGATCAACTTATCAGCATCACCTGCATGGCAGAGATCTCCGAGGAAAATCAACAACGCCATATGGAGATTTTTTTAGACACAAAACCAATCACCTAAATCATCCAGATGTTTATTTGAATAATTGAATATTCCCTATCCCATTCCACACCCTATCTTACTTTAATAAGGCCTCTTAAGCAAACCACACTGTAATAAAAATAATACCATCAGTGCAACAGCACAGACACTTGATACTGCAGTGTTGAGACTGCAGTGCCACGCAGACTCTGTTTACTTATCTTACCCCCAGTAAGTGCAACATTCCTTGGAAGTAATTAAACGGCAAAGTTGTGTCCCGTTGAGTTATAATTCGATGAGTTTACACAATGATGTCTTGATAAAGAGACTGCTGCTTTCATGTGGCAAATATCCCATTTACAGTTTGTTCATTCGATCATGCACTCTTGTGTGTAAACTAATCTACCAAGTGTTAATTGAATTGTGTCCTCATGCATTATGTAGAGCGTTGTTTGTGTAACTAGTGTAACAATATGTAGTAAATTGTGTTCAAGTTTTTGCTGACCCTTAAAGGAACTCTTTAATTCTGATTATGAGCTTGTCTAGATGCAATAATACAGAGCAATTGCACGGTGTTTTTGGACCTTGTTTGGGTTTCAGGGGTGTGAGTATGTGACTAAAACAGTTTAAGTATGATTATGTGGAATCAACTGTTAATTTCTGCTATTTTTCTCTCCGTTCTTATGCTCTCCCCTCCAGACCACTGAAATGCAGTGGCCTGGTGCAACACAAGAAGTCCCGTCCTCTATATGCAGCCAACCCTGCCGCCCTGGTCAGCGAAAGAAGACAGTGAAGGGAATTCCATGTTGTTGGCACTGCGAGAATTGTGATGGTTACCAGTATCAGGCAGACACTTACACCTGCAAGATGTGTCGCTTTGATCTGCGGCCTAATGCGAACCACACTGGCTGTGATCCCATTCCCATTGTCAAGCTGGAGTGGAGCTCTCCGTGGGCGGTCATCCCCGTCCTTATCGCTGTCCTGGGTATCATGGCCACTCTGTTTGTGGTGGTCACCTTTATACGCTACAATGACACACCTATTGTTAAGGCGTCAGGTCGAGAGCTGAGCTATGTGCTGCTGACTGGCATCTTTCTCTGCTATGCTACAACATTCCTCATGATCTCCACCCCCGATGTGGTAATATGCTCCCTGCGAAGGATTTTCCTGGGCCTGGGTATGAGTATAAGCTATGCAGCGCTGCTGACCAAGACAAATCGGATCTACAGGATTTTTGAGCAGGGCAAGATGTCGGTCAGTGCCCCTCGATTCATCTCCCCAGCCTCCCAGTTAGTCATCACGTTCAGCCTGATATCACTGCAGCTCCTCGGAGTGTGCATCTGGTTTGGTGTTGACCCATCACAAGCCATCATCGACTACGAGGATCAGCGTACGGCTAATCCCAAATTGGCCCGAGGTGTTCTGAAATGTGATATATCAGACCTCTCCCTCATCTGTCTGCTGGGTTATAGCATGCTGCTGATGGTCACCTGCACAGTTTACGCCATCAAGACCAGAGGTGTCCCCGAGACATTCAACGAGGCCAAGCCCATCGGCTTCACCATGTACACCACCTGCATTGTATGGCTTGCCTTCATCCCCATCTTCTTTGGGACCTCACAATCAGCAGAAAAGGTAAACATTTCCTCTCCTGTGTGGTGGAATATTAAATAGATTATAAAATAACAAGGTGTGGGGAAAAATAAATCAATTCTTAAGCCCAGTCCAGACCAAAGACTTACGACGGGCTGAGTTGAAACTTGCAACTACTTGCAAAGCGCCAGTTTGCAATGTTCTGAAAACCTGCCAGTTGTTACCACTGAGACTGAGCGTACTGTCTCCATAGCAACGCTCCCTGTACTTGTGTTCTAAGTTTTGGCTTTTCAGGCTTATTTTGTTGCTGAAAATAGTTTGTAGCTTCTTAAAAATATGAATGAAGATACTGATAGTGAGATATTTACTACAGATGCATTTCTAGTAGTGATGACATGGAGAAAAAACAAACACAACAACCTGAGCTTAAAGTGGACAGTATTCATAATAAGTACACTACAATATTTTAAATAACCAGTATCAAATTATCAGTCAGTGAGTATGTGTGTGCGACATGCCCATATACGGCAAGCAGGAGCAGTACCCCGCCATCCGACACCAACTTATTGTGAGGACGGAGACTGGCCTATATGTCAGCAGTCATGGTGATGTAAATGAGACAGACTCAGGCTCCACAGGGACCAAATGCCGCAGCATTACGCCATGAAAAAATACAGGAGCAAGCACACTCTGATAATTTGTAACTGACTATGCCAGTGGATTTCACTGCAAGCCAATTGGCTGTTAAAACAGGTGACATGCCTTAAGTTCTTAAACCAACCACTGGCAACTTGACAAGATGAGTCGCAGGTGACACCATCAGCCACCTTGAGTTAACGGACCAGTTCACGCTGCTTCAACTTTTCTACGAAATATTCTAAAACAGTTTTGTCTTGTCACAAATCTTTGGTCTGAAGTGGGTTTTAAATGCATAGCAATGCAGACATGGAAAATTTGGCATCCATTCATAAATGTCACTAGATATCGGTTAATAACATGATGTTGTCGAAAAAAGGCAGAACTGAACCTTGAGGGCAGCGCAGCACCCAGTCTACAGTACAAACATTGGCAGAGTTAGCCTTTAATTTGTCCTCACAAAAAGCAGTAGGTGTATGTAGGGCTGTACCAGACTCAGAATTATGTAATTTGAGTATTTGACTTTTTATTTTTTTAATTCATATGAAGTTGGAAAATTCGAACGGGCCCAGTTGGACGTTCAGTGAGACAGCAGCATTCATGGACTATAATGAACAAGCTAATGGCGCTAACAAGGGAGGTGCAACAACATTTTTTGCCAATGCTAGATATCAAACAAAAGCCACAGACTGTGTCGTATGTAGTATCTGTGAGCTGTAAATTTACCACTTCTAAGCAGAAAGGAGAAGATAATGTTGTCTTGAAGCCTTATGGTGCAAAGTTTCTCTCTGCCACTGCATCATGTTTGCAGCTGTCCGTACCAAAGACTACCACGAAAGTTAAGAGCATTCACTCCGCGACATCTGGGGACCAAAACCTCCCCAGAAGTATACTGCACTGCTTGACTTGGAACAATCTCAGTCAACTGAGGAGTCGCCAACTGACGAAGTGATAGTATATTCTAAATACTTTCTATGCCATCACTCATATACGTTAAACGTTAACACACAGTAACATGAACAAATAAGACCAGCTAACAAACACACACAGCAGCATTAAACAACTTAAACCACCGCTGTGGTTATGAAAACAACTCCATACTCAGTCTGTTTCACCTCAAAAACCCTGTGCCCGCTCAGCGTCTTGGCTTTCCTCGGCGCTGCTCTCCACAGCTGGGGACATAACGTTAATAACAACACAGCGGAGCACTCCAGCTCCCTCTCATTTTTATTATTGTCATAGAGGCAGAAGACTTTAAGGAGCTTTCACATTAATTAATTTGTTGATTAATTAATGCAGTTAAGTTTTTAGAATAAAAAGGCTGCGGACCATTTATCTTATTTGCCAGTTATGTTTTAAATTGTGCGTCAGTGGAATAAGGACACTAGGGAATGGTTTGGCACACAGTATACTGGAGCAAGACACTGAAAATTGTACTTCAATCAAGAAGCTATTTTAATTCAGACACCAAAGATTTGGATTTAAACCATGAGGTTCCCAAAGATTCCCACCCCTAAAATAGCCAATTAAGTTTTGCCCCATTTGTTTATTTCACAAATTAATTGTTTTAAATTTGGGCACAAATGCCAGTGCAGTCACTCAGCGTCCTCTGATTGTTCTGTATTTAGAAAGAGCACAATGGCAGCAAGTCAATTAAATTCACTCGTGCATGTTGGATGTCAGTTTCCATTTGGAGTTCTTTCCCATTTCCTATGTGCCTCATTGTGAAGAAAATGGCCACTCAAATTATGTTTGTTGTGTGGCATCAGCCTCTTGTGTTTGTGGATACCGCCACTATTCATCACGAGATGATGGGCTTTGTGCTTCACTGAGGGGATTACAAGGCTTTTAGAGCTGTCTTGTGAGGATAATTCATTCACCTCAAGTTCGCTTGGATATGTTTTCTTTAATTGTGTTTCTGCGTGTGTTTTTGATTCAGCCTCACTGGTTGGGAATACCGGGTAGTCAATCACTGCACATTCAGGCACACAGAAACAGATAACGCAGGTTTGTGAAGTAGCATAAAATTACCGTGGCTGTTGAGGCTCCTTGTCAGTTGAAAGTGAATCACAAATTACCTCTTTCAAGTGCTAATTTTGAGGTTGCTCAACACAGATGTACATTAAAAACCAGAGTGTGGAAAAGTTACACAACTGATAGCAATGGGAATGCTACTGTATGGCGCTGCATAATAACAAACTTAATAGCAGCCTTTAAATCGCCAACAGCATAAAAAGACGTCTGTTTAAAGGCAGAGTGATTCATAAGTAGGCATGGACATTAGGTGCTGTTAAACCAATAAAATAAAGAGGTGTTTTTTGGACAAAGGCTGTGTTTGTTCTCCTCAGTTGGACAAAAATACAGATGTAGTGCACCAGTAAAATTAAGACCATTATCCAGTTGCTCAAGCAAACTGTGAATCTTCCAAATTACTAACTGTACCATGGCAGCCCATTAACCACATTTGATAAATATAAATGCAAAATTGTCTGGAACACTGTCTGCACTTCCTCTTGCTTCCAGTCTCAGCCTGCCAAGTAACACTTAAAGAAAATTTCATCAGGGAGATCAAGAAGAGAGCATTGGGAAAGCAAAACACTGAGTCATGTTTTTAACTTTCCTTTGCTCTCTGTCTGCCGTGTTCGATTTGGTAAAATAAACAGCACAGCAACTCAAAACTCTGCACACACGGACACAGTTAGAACTAGCTTGTGGCAGAACCCAGACAATAATCTTTGCCAGATGTGTTTTCCAGAGATTTGGTTGTAGCCCTTTAGCACCGACAAGCAGCAAAGCTGTTGCCTAATACTATGAGGTTGCCCATCTGGTGACTTGACTCAATCTTCTCTGTACTTTGTTGCTGGTAAACTGTAGAACAGTTGGCAGGACACAATAGGTAGAATGGAATATTCTGTCTGCTGCTTTATCCTGGCATGGCAGTGCTCAATTTAAGGTTATCAGGAGGCATGTAAACAGCTTTCCCCAGAGTGTGCTTGATAACTAAGTCACACCATGCATGCAAACACAGCCAGTGATGAAACAGGCAGCCAAATATAAATAACCTCGATTCTTCAGTTGTATCTCTGCCACTGAAGAGAAGGTGGATGGAGTGAAAGGAGGAATCAGTCTCTATCTAACAGGGTTTCAATCCAGCCCAACTGGCACTTACACAGATTGAAGACTTGTTAGGTTGTTATCACAAAGGATAAAGGTCATATTAATTTGCGCCATGAAAAAAATACTGTAAAAAACACCACAAACCAAAATCAATTACAAGAAACACCCAATCAGGATTAAAGCTACAGTTTGCAACTTTTTTAGAATGAAACCATTACAATATCCTGGCAGTAAATGAGCCTGATAATCTGTTTTTTTTTTGTTTGTTTTTTTTTAAAAAGTAAATAATAATTATGTCACTCTGCCTCCTCCTTGTGCTCCTAATGGCATTTGCAAGAATCGACCGCAGCTGAAGGAAAACAACCAATCAGAGTCGAGGAGTCTCTAACACAGCTTTCAATCATGTCAGCCACTGCCCGTGAACTGTGGTCAACCTGTCAAACTAGGCAGCGCTGGTCCACTATGAACAGTGCATAGTGGTTAGCACTGTCACCTCACAGCAAAAGGGTTCCTTGTTCAAGTCCGTGGTGGGGGGTTCGAACCCTGGGGTGGGAACTCTGAGTTTGCATGTTCTCCTCGTGTCAGCGTAGGTTTTCTGCGGGTACTCCTGACTTCATCCCACAGTCCAAAGACATGCAGGTTAATTGGTGTCTCTAAATTGCCCATAGGTGTAAATGTGAGTGGCTTCAGCACCCCTGTGACCCCCAACAGGATAAGCGGTTATGGAATGAATGAATGATTAAATATGAATCAAGATTCTGTTACTGCAATGCCTATTTCTCACCTTAAATGTTTTCAGAAACATATTTGACTGTACTGTTTAGCTGTAAGATGAGAAAGTTTGCTCCGGCCAGTGGACGATTCTTTGTTTTGACTCGACTGTTTTCAACATGGCAGCAGAAATACAAGCTTTCTCACTTTACAGCTAAACAGTACACTAAAATATGTTTCTGAAAATATTAAGTAGGCAATGCCGTTACAGCATCTTGATTCATATCCAATCAGCGCTGCCTTGTTTGACAGTTTGACCGCAGTTCACAAGCAGTGATTGACATGATTGACAGCTGTGTTAGAGACTCCTGGACTCTGATTGGTTGTTTTCGTTAGTAGGGGCACTAAAAGGAGGCAGAGGAACATGATTTTTTTCTCATAAAAGTTCCCAACTACAGCATTAAATAAGGCACTGAAAAACTTTATTTAATTTTCCAGTTTACAGAGAAGCAATTTCTTTTTATTTCCCCAGATGGATTTTATCCAATTTATTCATTAAATATTGTCCTATACACAGCATTAAATATTAATGTGACTGCACAGAAAATTTATTTGTTTCATTAAAATATGACTGAAGTTTTGATATTTTACGGCCTACTGTGATCTGGCTTCTTTTAATTGTGTCGTGCCAATCCAAAGAAATGGTAAGTGTAACCAAACCAAAATAAAGTAAATACATCCTTGTCATAGCAGATATTCACACTTAGATGCACACACTAAGACAGCACAGGTGTTATAATATCATTAATGATTGCTTTGTTCTAGTGTGTCTGTTTGTCTTGTAGAAAGTGTCCCAGTAAACCATGACAGCATGACAGTGAGCCAGCATGCACAAAACCAAGCCCTGAAACTGAAGCAGCCACTGTAAATTAAATTTAACCATCGTTAATTTCATTATGTACACCTGCATTCTTCTTTCTGTTACATGTTTTGCTAAAAGAAACATGGGCAATAAAATATTTCGTAAATAATTTTAGTCCTCTATAATCAGAAAACCTGGAGCCAAAATATTGGAGTACAAGGACTTGGAAGAGCTGTGGAGGTGTGTTCCTGTTGGCGAGCTCTGTGTATAGGTAGGAACAGCTCTGGCAGCTGTCTGGACAAAAGATTTGATGCCTAATGACATAAAGGAGCAATCCTGCTTCAAAAAAACTTCATAATGGCCGAGTCTTCTGAGGTTCCTGTCCCCGGCCCTGTTCCCTCACAGTACCGATGGAGCAGATTGGCAATCATATCAGCTTGTCAGAGAAAATTTATGTCACCGGGGCCGATGGAAGTGGACAAGGGTCTTGGCTCCCCTCACAGAGTGACTCCACTCTGTACTCCAGAGGGGTAGCAATATTGTTCCGAATTCACCACAGGCCACGTGTAATCTTCTCAGGAGATTACAACACTCCCCCGCCTTTGCCAAGAAACGCTCGCATCGCAGGATGATGGAATACAATGCCCTATCACTCCCATTTTGCACTGACATCTTTTTTTCTCAACTGACATGGCTTTAGGGAACTTATTTTGTGGACGGCTTCTCTATAGTTTTAGTTTTTTATTACATCAACATATATCATTGTCACTGTAGGTCGTTCTATTTATTTCTGTTTACATCTTTGCTTTCCCTTTTGAACTGACTGGATGCCCTACAAAATAATCTACCGTACTAAGACATATAAAGAGTGCCACACAAATGCCCCCCTGAAAACTAAACAGTACCTCCTTTATTAGTCAGATTAGATTAACACAAATGAACATTTACCTACAGTTTAGATGGTCTTGGTGCTGCACAGGTTTATACAAAATCTATAAAGCATCTTGTCATGTGAGGATAAATGTCGTACGAGTTGACATACAAACAACATATGTCATGACCCCATGTTGGGAAACATAATTTATAACTTTTGACGTGCTTGTGGTTCAGAGCCCTGTGGGCTATTCCCATGCCAAAAGACTCAGTCATTTGTGATGTCTGCAAATGTAATGTCAGACAAAACCTCAGGCAAATCTCTTTGAAGGATGTCTGCCAGCTGTGTTTTCCACTGTACACTCCTCGCCTTGTGTTCATCAACTTCAGAGGATGTCAGCAATTTTGTTCCACGAGGCAAAGTCAACAGTTCTCCTCTTTCTCTGTTTTTTAATTAACATTTCTGACACTGGCGTTCCTTCAAATTCAAATTACTTTGATGATTTTCCACATTTGTTAATGGAAACACACTTTCTAAACTGAAGAAATCACATTTTCATATTTCATACGCATGTGTCGTATCACATCAAATATGATCTACCTATTACATATTTTCCAGCAGGTGCACTAACTCACCGCATTCCCTACATCAACAAATCAGAGATGGACCGCGTCTGAGCACTGGGATGATTATCATAAATGAAAAATCACTTGCAGGCACTTTTAATATGCTGTAGGATGTTTCTCTCTGCTCCATAGCTGTTGCCTGTAGCTATATATCTGCTACCCAGCTGTGAGCTGCAGCTGTCACTGGCTTCAGAAAGCACACAATCCTTATGCTGTTGTCTAAAACCTCAGGGTAAAAAACGTCTATACGCAGACTACATACACACCCATCCGGGGGGGGGTAGGGCACTTCTATTAGTTGTGTATCATAAATAAACAAACACAGCAATGAAAGATGGGTTCAGGAGTGATGAACCAAGCACATGAAAATAAACGAATATGAGTAAAGGACACTGTATGCCATCACCATGTCTTATTATGTGATACTGTGTGCTGTGCAAAGTTAAGTTCTCCTGTGTAAGAGGCTGTAATTTAAAATATTATCCTCTACTATACATATATTACTTGAGTAAGGCAGTGTCTGTCCTACATGCTAGATTTTGAAAGCCTTAGTCTATTGAAAGCAATACATCCTTAGCCATCACATGCCCCAGAAACTACTCTTATTCTTCTGCAGCTTTATTAGAAAATTGGCTTTCAGAAAGAAATATATGAATTTCATTTTCCTTGATGGACTCAATTCAAAGTGTGCAGGCTCTACAGTAAGTGTGCTCGGTTTAACCTGAGTCTCTATAACTAGAACATCACTGTCCATCACTCAACACACACTCAACAAATGATCCTGTTTGCTTGTGTCTCTGCTGTCTCTTCCATAATGCAGATGTATATCCAGACCACAACCCTGACCATCTCTGTAAGCCTGAGTGCGTCAGTCTCTCTGGGAATGCTCTACATGCCTAAGGTCTACGTGGTTCTCTTCCATCCAGAGCAGAACGTACCCAAGCGCAAGCGCAGCCTGAAAGCTGTGGTCACTGCAGCCACCATGTCCAACAAGTTCAACCCTAAAGGAGGCCTGAGGCCCAACGGAGAGGCCAAGTCTGAACTCTGTGAAAGTCTTGAAACACAAGGTTGGTACCACGCCTGATGGAGCAATAAAGAGAAGGGAAAGAATGAAATGTGCTCCACTGGATCTCAACCAGGAGCTGATTTTATGCTGATGCAATGAGCTGCTTCTGTGTAAAATTACAGCAGTTATAGAATACACATGTCTACTTGAAAATAATTAACTCCTTTTATGTGAACATAATTGATGCCAGTGTTATTTTTCACTTCAGCAGTTCTGGAAATTAGCAAGCTTTACGTGAGCATACAAGAAATTAGGGTGCCCATTTCAGTGCCAGCAAAAGCGGTGTTATATTGTAGCTTCTTTCTGAACACGAATGGATGACATAAACAGAATTGTGTGAATAATTAAAACTGATTGGGGTTATTTCAACTTTGCCTCTAGCTAGCATAATTTGGAGGTTTTCCCAATTGCCCACTATTAAAGTATTTAACTGATCAATGAAAGGTCAAACTATTGCTTATGACAGTTTATTAAAGGGAAAATTTGCCACCTTGTATGTGGGTGTCCAATCAGTAATGATGGTAAATGTAACTGACTGAAGCAACAAATTGTGTGTGCTATATTGACAAGAGAGCCATGGATTTACAAAGACAACGTTTGAGGTGGGCCTCACTGATTCCTATGAAAGCTGCTTAGTGCCACATGAAGCCGAAAAAGTTCGACTTCCAGAGCAGCTAACTTCTGCCAGCCAAGTCGCTTACTTCGTTTTTAGTTCTCAGCTAACTTGAATGGAGATAAAATTATTGGATCATGCCGCTTTTCCAGACTTTGGAAATGTTATCCAACCAAATGGATCAAATGCCAATGGTGAAACAATTCATTTTGTTGAGTTTGTGACGCTCAAAAAAATGGATCCACTGTAAGTCTGTAGGGAAAAGTCTTTTTAGGCCCAGTGGCATGATGTGAATGATGTAATTTGACTTTTTGGCCACTACAAAAATTGGCTTCAAAGCCTGGCGCACTTCCTGGGGACCTGGAGAAAGTGTGGTCCTCCTGCTTGCAGAGACGTCCCTGAAGTGCCTTCATGTACATGTGCATTGCACAAGAGCTACTGATGCTAACTGATATTAGCCTATAGCTATTACTTTGTCGGCCAAAACATGGCGTTACAGGACAAAAATACTTGCTCATTTGTTTCTCCAGTATGTCTTGATCCTGAAGGAGATTTCCAGCACATCTCCGTCCAACTGAATCTAAAAACTTTCATGCATACTAATGTACACATGGGCTCTCTCGAGCATGGCGTCAACACCGTCAGCATCCAACAAATCTGCCCACACTAAAATTTAGCAGAATGATTCAGTTTCTGTTGGCATCCGAGGGCATTTTGAACAAAGGCATCATTAGTCGGTGTTTGCTCTCGGCAGCACAGGTTCTGGAAGGTCCCACCAGCCATATCCACTTATGCAGCCGCAGCCTCAGCCACTCTCTGCTGTATTTCTTCAGCCAAAAAATAAAAACATACTTCTTCCGCAGCCTTATTAGAAAATTGGCTCTTGGAAGGAAATAGAGGAACTACATTTTTTTTGATGGACAAAATTGAAACTGTGCAGGCTCTACAGTAAGTGTGCTCTCAGGATATACTCTGGCTTGAACAAATAAGGTCAGCCAAAACACTAAAATGTATCCTCATCCATAACATCATCTGCATTCAAATTTTGGGATGCCATTGTCGCTGGTGGAAACATAGCTAGTTTGCAAAACAAGCAAAGGGAACAAGAAAGTTCTATATTTGAGCAGCATTTAGGCCCCGATCACATAGAAAGGCGCGCCGCACTGCCTTTGTTTTTTTTAATTAAATGCCACTGGTTAAAAAAATTTTTAAAAAAAGGCTTGCTGCGCCTTTTTATTGTTGCCTGGCAACCACGAACTCAGCTCCTTATTCTAACCCTCCCATGTAATCAATCTACCGTTTATTTATTCATTTTAGTTATTTGACAGTAATAAATATCTAGTTCCTAAAATGTTTAGGCAGAGGGTACTTGCTGTAGCTCTGGTTGAGGATGAGAGGCTGTCAGCAAATAGTTTTTCGGGCAAAGAGAAATGCAGATCTGTGTGGGTACATGAGACCCTAAAAAAGAGGGTGGATCATGGGGAGCATCACCAGTTGGTCCATGAGCTTCTCCTCCATGATGGATGTTACCAGACATATTTTAGGATGATTCGGGGGCAATTTGACAGCCTGCTGTCTATCCTCGTGCCGTAAGCTCTTGGTATCCGGCAACCACTACTACCAGTTTCTCCCTTGTTGTGTACCAACTGGAAAATTGTTGCCATGACACCACAGAAGGCCCACCTCTCAAATCATCCGATTGGACAATGGGGAAAGAATAGATGACATTTTTTCCACTGTGAGTTGAAGTTTTTTCAGCTCAAGTTGTTCAGAGCGCTCTGGCAAAAACGCCAGGTGCTTATAGAAACGCAGAAATGCATGTTGCAATGCAAAAACCACAAGCAAAAAGCTTCATTGTCATTATACATAAATACAAAAATGTGCTTCCAGCTGCTAAAATGCTTTCTGTGTGATCAGGGCCTTAGAGCACATCTCTTGGCTACCCTGGTGTGAAATCCCATAAGAACCAGCCTGTTCTTTCTTGCCTTAAACTACTTCACGGTTACGTCAAATGGCAGGGCTAGATGCAGAAGAACAACAGACTTTGCAAATGCAAACTCTCTTTCTCGGTCAATATAGCACTGAGGGATTCATTGTTCTAATCGACTACATTTATCATCAACACTGAATTGACATTCACATAAAAGGTGCCAAATTTTCTCTTTAAAATATATGTTTCACATATGCTGTACTGGAAAACAAAAAATGTGAGAGGAAGTTACTTTTCTGTTTCATCATCATAATCCTGCATTTTGAATACATGGAACAGAAAAACAGCTCCATTCTCACCAACTCTGACCACATTGGATTTGTGAATCAGGAGGTGTGACAGGGAGCCCACACTACTCTGATTTTGAAAGGGACTTCAGGGACGGGTAGCTCAGTGTTGGAAAAAAGGACATTTCAATCAACAAGATAAAGTGTATGAGTAGGCTGTCCCTGTGTGGGGGCACGCTTAAATCCAATCAGGCTACCCCACATGTTCTGATTACTGAAAGTCCTGATTTTATACTCTGACAAGCTGAACAGTATAGACTGATGTGTATTAGGACTAAAAAGCCTGCGCCCACACTTGCATGAATGTCTTTTTCAACCACAGAATGGAGTTGTTATATTTTATCCTATTATAGAGCCCATTTATAGGTGCTAATTCTCGCCCTCCGGTTTGAACTGTGAATCTAACAACTGCTCTTTGTGCTTATGTGTCAGACTGTGTTGAGGGAGGGGAGCCTTGTGAGGGACTTTAGACTCTCAGGTAACCTGATTAGACAATGACTTTGCCCTTTTATTACGTGACCACTTTTTCCTGTTAATTTCTGCTAATGTTCACCACGACGCCCGTGCCTGCCTATACTATGCACAAAGCATCCCGGCTGCCCCTGGCTAAAATACAGCACCCTGAATGACACGAGGCAGTAATCACGCCCTCACAAATCCACCCTTCACCACCAGACATTAAGTTGGAAAGACAATTTTGGTGTGTGTGTGGTGCTGTAAAATGGCCAATCAGCATGGTAAAGCCTGTTAATGTGGGAAGATGACACCACTCTGCCTGAGTGCAGGAGACAAGCGATAGCCATGTGTCCCCTGTAATTTGTTTCCCTGTTGACAAAAGAAGGAATTTGCAGTAATAGGACAACAACAACAATAAGAGTGAACAGAAAAAGACAGATGGGTCTGCCAGCTCCAATTCTTTCTGGACCATCTATTCTTTATCTTGGCCTTGCAGCACATAAATATTCAAATAAGGTACATTGATCAATGCTTCTCTTGGAAGAGATGCTTTGGATGAAATGGCGAGAATGCCGCCCCCATTCACACACCCAACGTGGCACTGACAAATATACAGAAACATTTACCATTACACGTCTCTCCTCTACAGCACTTGTGCCCCGACTCTGGCTCTCAGCTGTCTTCTGATTGGATTCATCCCCTCTGACATATTCAATCAGCCAAGGCTGCTGCGGGCAGATTGGCAGATTGGTAGTGTGATTACCACCACACCAAGCATGCTCACTGAGGACAGATTTATTTTAAAAAATGACACACACACACACACGTACGTGCTGACACTGGCACACAGACATATGTGTGCATACAAGCATGACTGCATACATGCACACAGGTTCTGTATTGTATGACGGTACATGGTTCACCAGAGGGTTGGGCTTGTTATGGTCACTGTGGTCTGCCCTCTGGTCATCTGTCTTATGTGTTTTATTCACAGCTGATGAAAAATTCCATGAAACATGAAAAGAATTTTAAAAAATAATGAGCACTGCTATCAAACATTGATGACAACGCTTACAGTGCCAAGTCAGATCACATATTGTCTAATACACTTTATGATTCCAAATGTTTTTGTAATACACTGACTGCTGCATGCTTTGCTTGGTGCACACAGACATCTCAGGTCTTTGCATGTAGGATAAGACTTGCATTTGAATGGTTACTAATGCATTTTATATCAGCTGTGATCTGCTTGGTGCAATTTAACGATATAATCAGCTGTGAGGAAAACCTTATGACAGAGGTTTCCCTGTTTTCATTAACGACACTTTAATAACAGGTACACTGATATGACCATTGCCACAGCCTATGAGTCTGACTGCATCTGCATCACTGTCTTGACAAATACTTGATGATGATATGTTTATACAATGTCTGCAATGTTACCATGTACACTAACATTTGATGATTTACTTGCAACAATCCACTGAAGTCTTTCCTAATGCAATGAGGTTGTGTAAAACCCATTTTTAGAGCTGAAACAATTACTTGATTAATCCATCAGTAACTATTTTGATAATTCATCGCTTAAGTCGTAATTCAAGCAAAAATCCCAAATATTTTCTTGTTCCAGCTTCTTAAATGTGAGGATTTGTCTATGTATTTCTTATTATTGTAGCTTGAATATCTTTTAGTTTTGGGGTTGCTCAGATGTCATTTTGACTTTTGAGAAATTGTGATGAGCATTTTTTTCACTATTTTATGACATTATGAAAGCTAAACAAGTCATTAACTAATTAGAGAAAACAACTGGCTGTACAACATACTGTAGTTCTTTGTAATTTGAATGCTGTGCAGCTTTTTTTAATGTTTAATAATTCTGTTAAAACCCTGTAATTCTGCACAGCTGCAGATTAAGACACAGTTCAGGCTACAGTGATATTGTTGGTTATACTTTTTGCAGACTTAGATTTTGGTGGCTGCCCAGGATTTGTTCCTGTTCCTGTGAAACAAACATATATGTAAATTTATTAATTACAAAAAAAAAAAAAAAGGTATAATAGTTCCAAAATTCCCAACATGTATTATCTGACAAACTATCATGTGTCTAGGTGACTTGTGGGAACAACAATTTTTGAAACTGATGAAGTATTGAGAGAGAGGGCTCAGATTGTTAACTTGAGTGTCTCACAACGTTTCAGACCATTCACTTGTTTCCGTCTGTTTTGTGTCTAAGTCTCGCTAAAGGAAAAGTCTTGTTCTGAACTCTCACGAGGTGACTTGTTGCAACAGGAAAATGGTGGAAACACAAGTAAGAGTTGGAGATAAGAGTGTTGGTAATAGTTTATTGTGTTAGAGCACAGGAAGTGTATCTTCCTCTTATCTCAGAGATTTTCAATGTCATGGCTGAATATTCAGCTGATTCTGACACTGAGAAAACTTCACTAAGATTTGAGAACAAGACTTCTCCTTTAGCGGGACATGCGAAAGGTATAGAAAAAGTTTTGATTTCTCTGTAGAGTCCTTCACTAATGTTGTAAGACTTTCATAATAAACGTGTAAGAGACAAAAAAAGCCCTTTTTAAAGCATGCAAATTGACGAGACACACCTGCCCTGAGTTGTTTCACTGCAGCCTGCTTAGCCAGCAGCAGCACTCTATCTCTCAATACTGGACCAATTTCAAAAATCTTCATTCACACGAGTCACATAGACACAAAAACACAGAAAATAAGGTCCAGAAAAATACAGGAGTTTCCCTTAAAGCAGTGGTTCTCATCTGGTCCAGCAATGAGGTCCAGATTTCCCCTTAGTCATTAGTTCAAGGTCCACACAGTTTAATATTGCCAGCATCATACTTGTGTTTGGCCATGTTGTCAAGCTACTTTGCTGTCTCTGTCAAGTAGCTGTCCATGAGTCACTCACTCTACAACAGGAAACCACACTTTAAAATAAAAGCTCTGTGCTGAAAATTCCCTGTACTTAAAAATAGCGCTGCAACGACTAATCGACTATGAAAATAATTGGTGACTATTTTAGTAGTCGACTAATTGGTTTGAGTCATTTTTCATAGAAAAGTACTATAAAGTACCCCAAAATACTCTTATTGCAGCTTCCTATGTTCAAATATTGGCAGCTTTACACACTCTCCCATGACATGAATTAAAACCCTTTGGCGTGAGTACGAAACAAGACATTAGATGACATAATTTTGGGGTTTGGGAGAGACAGACCGTCATTTTTCAACATTTTAACACATTTTTCGATAAAATGATTAGTCAACTAATCGAAAAAGTAATCGACAGATTAGTCGACAATGAAAATTATCGTTAGTTGCAGCCTTACTTAAAAATAAAGTGTGGGGCGTCGGTGGCTTAGTGGTAGAGCAGGCGCCCCATGTATAAGGCTGTTGCTGCAGCAGCCCGGGTTCGACTCCAGCCTGTGGCCCTTTGCTGCATGTCACTCCCTGTCTCTCCCCCCCTTTCACACTTGTCTGTCCTATCAAATAAAGGCTTAAAAATGCCCAAAAAAATATCTTAAAAAAAGAAAAATAAAGTGTCTTCTTTACAAATTTGACACGTTTGTGAGTCACTAGCAGTCCATTCAGAATTGACCCACGACCCATTTTTGTACCATGACCTCCCAGTTGGGAACCACTGCCTTAAAGCGAGTGGACTAGTAGCAATCTGACAACACCATAAATTACAAAAAAACCTCACTTAATGCCATGAATAACTTTATTAAAATTGACGATTTTGTTTGAGTTTTTTAAAAATTCTTTTTTAGGGTGAAAACATCATAAAATATGACGACGCCTCATTTCAAACCCTAGGTAGAAGCTTAAAATGTGAAAAAAAAAAAAAAAAAGACATTTGAAACTGCCCTCATGAAAATAACCATTAGTTACTGCCCTGATTTATTTTAGATTTCTTATTGAGCATCACTGTAACAGTTTATCTTGAATCAGTCACATTATCACTTTCTTCAGCTTTGTAAATGAACTATTTCTATTTAAATGCAACACAAAGATACAGGAGATTGCATTCCTGTAAATACTGCTTCCACATACAACACCCTGCTGTTATGATTGGTTCCACCTGCACTCATTTGATGGAGCCATCCATAAATAGAACTTTCCATCAATCTGGACTTCAACACGTGCCCTGAAAGATTCACGCCTATTTAAATCTCACCCGCTGCATTTTTATTAACCCTCTCCTTCTTTCTCCTGCACCTTCACCTGCAGTGTTGGCTTCCAAGCAGACATACATAAGCTACAGTAACCATGCCATCTAAGCCAGAGACGAACAGTGGAAGCGGAGCCAGCGCCTGCCTGAGGAGAAATCACCTGATTCTGGGGAATACTGGGGGAAATACTGGAGGACTTCCAAGCTGCTACAGCGGAGAGGACTGGGGTGGAAAGATGGGAATTTGTCACTCCATGAAAAGAAAGGATGTCATATTTTTCTAGAGAATCAGGTAAAGGCTCAAATGCCAAATTTATGAGAAATTTGAAGAGAGGGAGGGAGATGGGAGATGTAAGGGAGATTGAACAGTTAATTTTCCTCTTCCCACCCTTTCTGAGACGCAAGTGAGCATTGAGCAGTGACGTTTCCAGATGCAGGCTGAGCGAACCACCTGGAGTCTACAGTATGTTTTCCTTCTGAAGTGTAAAGAACACAATTTCAGATCTCTCTGAGGCTGAACCGTTTGTCTCATTTCAACAAAAAAAACAAAAAACAAAAACAAAACAAAACAAAAAAAAACCCGGGGGGAAAAGTGTTCTGTTTGCGCTCAAGTCAAATGCAGTCGACAAGATGAAGCAGTATAAAAATATAGTCATTATTTTTTTGGTTACTGGTATTATTGGGGTTGAAAGCTGCAGTACTCTTCAAACTGTACATGCCTTACTACAGTACATTCAGTATTCCTACATGAACTAACCATATCTGAAACACCTGAAAACAAAGCAGGGGGTCATCCCAGGTTTTTTTTTTTAATAAATGTTTCATAATGATGATGATGATGATGGTGATGATGATGATGCCGTCATCTTGGCAAACCTAGTGTACAGTCCCAGAGCATGCTTGTGGGAGCATCACGTGTACTGTGCTGTGTTGTCAACGTCTTTGGAATGCAACATTTGTCATGGTTGTCATTCACAGTGGAGATGTCATTTTGGACCATTACCCGCTGGGTTACCCTCTGCTGGATAAAGACTATTTTCTCAAACACAAAAATGAGCAAATCTAAAAAGCAAATTGCCATGTAATACCGTCATAGTTTACGCCACACTCCATAAATGTCAGCCAGGACTTTAAAGACTTGTTGAAGCGTACTTTAAAAACATCCCAGATTTATTGGCCTTTATTTATCACGCTCTTGTTAAAGCCTTTCAGGTTCAAATTACCCGATTTGTTTAACTTCCATCGTTCTACAGGTAGAACTCTTGAGACAATAACAACACACTTCCATTTGATATTCCCTCTAATAAATTACATTTTTACATCCATATTATCCTGTGTTTTCTATATTTGTGTATTTCAATGTTTAGTGATATAGAATTTGAAACATATTCTTAATTTTTATAGCAGGTGAGCTTGAATAATAGCATATTTTGTCCCTAAACACTTGATTTGTGAAGGAGTAAAACAGCACATTAGATATATCATGTTTAAAGCCTAATATGATAGATTACATTGAACAGTATTACATGGGCACCTCTTGTGATTTATGATAGATGCACAGGTAATTTAGGATCCTTGCAAAGGATTTTTTTTTTACCCTTTTCTGGGTCATGAATTTTGAGGCTACAGTGGAAATGATTAATGAGAGTTTTAATAGTATTTTGGGTACAAAATTAGGCTCATGCAGCTACTCAGTAGAAGGCCCATTTGAAGAAGGTGCAAGCTCAGTTCCATCAAACAGCATAAATGTTCAAAGATAATTAGGTGGATGGTATGCATAGCACTCCCGAAAGGAGTGTTTTACCTTTCAACAGACCCAATACAGCCTTTTTAGGGTTTATAGCTCCGCTTAAATATTCTCCACAATCCCAGAGAACAGTATCATGTTAAATGTCAGATTTTCACATATAAATACATTAAAGGTCCAGTGTGTAGGATTAAGGGGGATATATTGGCAAAAACAGAATATTATATTCATAACTAAGTATTCATTTGTATAGGAATTGCTGGGGGGTTTTTTTGTTACTTTAGAATGAGCCGTTCATATCTACATTTGGAGATCCGCGGTTTTTGTTTCCCTAGGCCTAGATTTAAGGGGGAAAGAGGGGACACATCCCCTTCAACATGTGCATTCGTTCTCCTCAATAAAGAAATTAAAATAGCAGATTACTTTTATTTTGTCAAAAAGTAAGACATTTTGACTTTACATTTAAGCAGAAATAGCACAAATTGCACATAAACATTCACCAGAATTCAGGAAATTAAGTGTTTGATGATAAAAATTTCCTGGGGGAGGACCCCCAACCCACCATTTTACATGTGTCCTCCCTAATGTTGATACGAAACCTACACTCTTGGTTGTTTCTAGCCCAGAACGGACGAACCCAACACTGGCTGAGTAGGGCAGTTTGCATTGTTGTATCTGCCACCATAGTTCTCCTACAAGATTGGCACATGGGAGGAGTTTCAGTTGGATAAAATCTGCAATCTCACCACTGGATTCCACTAAGTCCTACACACTAGGGGCGTCCGGTGGCCCAGTGGGTAGAGTAGGCGTCCCATGTACAAAGGCAGACTTGCTGCAGCGACCATGGGTTCGATTTCAGCCCACAGCCGTTTGCTGTCCCCTCCATCTCGCCCTGTTTCATGCTTAATACCCCCCAAAAATTCTACACACTAGACCTTTAAATAGTTGTTTAATTTAGCCAAACTATCAATCAATCTAATATCACAATAATTTTGAACAAATACTTCAATATCAATATTGTAGGGTCACAAAATATTTGAAATATTTGATAAACAAAAAAAAAAAACATCAATACTGTGGATAGAGTAAAGGCAAATAATAGAACAGCTAGAACGGTCTGGTAAGTTCAGAAAATTACATTACTTTACTGCAATATAGCCTTAAAAACCAGGAAAAGACAACACTTACAGTATGAGAGTATCCAAAATCTAAGACCATATCTCATCTCCTATCATTTTATCTACATATTCCCAAATTCTAGGCCGAAACAAACTTTGTTGCATTAAACTTGCATCAAAAGACAGCACTGTTCATAGCATCCCACTAAGTATTAACACTAATGACTGCAGCTTTAATCACACACAAATTGATTTTCAGAGTAATATCGACAACCTCTCATTTCCAGATGAAACAGGGGGTGTACATCTGCTTGATAAATAAAGGCCAGTGCCTTCATTCTGTGCCTCATACCCATTAAACTACTCCTGCCATCCTTCCAGTGGATCTTTGATGGTGTTGTTTACGTTGCATCCATTACCTTTCAAGTGTACTCTGATCAATCACGAGGAAGAGAGGACTCAATGTACAATTTATAATTAAGTGTGTAAACTCCATCTCTGTCTCCAGTCTCTAAAGTATTTGTCATAAGCAGTAACTCTGGAGTTTGTCTCATTAAATGTTATCCTCAGCGATGCAAAAATATGTATGTTGCATGTCAAAACTCATAACAAGTCATGTGAACAATTTGAGAGAGAGAGAGGTGTAATGTCCAGAAGGAAAACTACTGCAGAGGATTATAAATAACTAATATTTTTTGGTTTAATCAATGATTCTCTCAGATTCAACAAAAGTCTAGGGTGTTGCCGCAAATGTTGTTTTTTCATCAGTTGATAAAGTATCGTTTGTGGGATTGTTTGTGTTTGTGAATATGAAAATTTACTGCTTTTTCTTTTTTGCCTCAACCCCTCCTCCCTCCCCTTTATTTTTCTAAAAAACACTTTGTCTGTGTTACAAAATAGAAATATGTAAGTGCTGACTGAAATTAAGTGGCAAGTTAATGTACGTTATTAAAATGGATTGATCATGTCTGCTTTATGTACTGAATTATTTAAAAAAAAAAAAAAAAGAAAGATAAAAAAGAATTACAGTGCCTGGATATTTATGAATTATCTATAGAAAAAAAATACAAATGTGTAGAGCATGTTCATTTTTATACAAGATATTTCTAATAAAAGACTGTTTTGCTAATAAAGTGTGGCTGCTTCCTCTTATTTAGCGTGTTTCATTAGCAGTTCAATACACAATGGAGTATGAGTCATCTTCAATGGTAACAAAGCCTCTCCATATGTATCACATAATGACCTCACTCTTTTTCATCAGTAATCCTTATAACTGTAGCCTCCAAGGTGACACTGTATGCAGGACAAAGAAAAGGGCATGCTAAGTGATTTTAATTGTCGTAGAGATGCACGGAAATGATACTCATCCTTGGACAGACATGTGAACGAGCTATTAAATCATCAGTACCCGAGAACAGGTATTCAGATTTCTGTTCAGTCAGCCGATTAATCTATAATTTAATATACAGAGAATAACTTTAATAAACTATTTATTGTTTAAAGAGGTTACCCAGAGGAAAGAAAAAAATCAAAATAAGATGTCTTCCTTTCCAGCCTATTTCTCCCAGACATAACCGAGCTCAATATAACATCAATATAAGATTTTGACTATGTTCTCATACATCTTAATTTCAGCTCCTGAGAAACCGCCATCCTCTTGTCTCAGCTCATCCTAATTTAACATCTTAAAATGCTCTTTTCCCTCTCTCCCTGCAGTAATCTTTATTTGTCTCAATTAATCAGGTGTTTAGATAACAGTAAGATCCAAAAGAAAACTTGACTGACTTATTATAAATGAACGTTCACAATTTCAGGAATTTGTCTCTGATCAAATTAAAGTCTCAACTCTGTGTATTTGATCTGTTCTCAGAGTTGAGAAACGTCTGAGAAGCCTACGAGCACAGCAAAAGAACTCCTATTATATTATTCTTTCACTCCTTATTTCTCCTAAGGGACGAAACAGATGCAAACTCTTCAATGGGTTCATACAGCATGTATACCACTGATATTGGTAAGGTGTCATGGCAGAAGCTTAGCGCCAGTTTCCTCCGAGGTTAACAATGTTAGCTTTGTCAGCACTGCTTTCATTGTTAGCACTGCTGGATAATGATGAAAACCGTATGGAGTTCTTATAAATGTCCAGTGTGTAGGATTTAGGGGGTATATTGGCAGAAATGGAATATAATAAGTATGTTTTCTTTAGTGTATAATCTTGTGTGTGTATTTTTTCTGATTTAAATCACTGGGTCTGTTTGAGTTGGAGAGGAAGAGACCTCTGGGGGTAATCTAGCTCTCAGTAAAAACCTCCTGAACATCTGGATGTTAAGTTATTAGAGAACAAATGCAAGTACACATTGACAGGTGCTAGGCTAGCGGCCCATCTTGGACATGACTAACAATGTTGGAGAAAGCCTGATTTGTAACATGAAACTGCTTTATTCATTCATCCATCCATTTTCATCTGCTTATCTGGGTCCAGGGCCGGGTTGCGGAGGAAGCAGGCTGAGAAAAGTACTCCAGACATCCTTCTCCCAAGCAACGCTTTCTGGCTTCTCCTTGGGGATCCCAAGGCATTCCCAGGCCAGATGAGATATATAATCCCTCCAGCGTGTTCTGGGTCCGAGCTCCCGCAGTGTTTTAACCAGTTTAACTCACCAAATGTGTTTGATGTGGAGAGGAGTAGACCTCTGCTGATAATTCAGCTCCCAGTAGAAACCTCCTGAACATCTGGATCTTAAGTTATCAGAGAATAAAGGTGAGCACACATTGGCAGGTGCTCGCGGCCCATCTCTGACATGTCAAACAGTGTTGGAGAAACCCTGATTTGTAATGTGAAACTGCTTTACTCAGTGTTTTCACCAGTTTTAATCACCTGGTCCATTTGTTTTGAAGAGTCATAGACCTCTGTGGATAATTCAGCTACCAATTAAAACCTCTTGAACATAAAACGCTGAAGGAAGCTGGTTGCAATTTGCAGTCTTCTCCACTAGATGCAACTAAATCTCCTTAAATCTAACACACTGTTTCTTCAAGTCATTTATTCACCAAAGCTCTAAACATTTTAAACTTCAATGGCATGTTTCAGCATTTTCTGACATTTGATAGAGTAAATTATTAATCACTTAACTGAGAATATAATTGGCAGATTACTCATTGATGAAATTGATTGTTAAATGCATAATCTATTGTACTACATGTGTTAATCAAAGCCCTTATTGTCATAATGGCTTTTACAGAACGGTAAATTGAGGTGACATGAACAAACATGGAGACTGATGGATAACATGATCTATAAAGATTGGAAGGGCCACATTCAGATCACATACAGCATCTCAGCATTGGGACGGCCCAGAGCTGAGACGTGTACATCCCATGAAATAATCAGGATTTTCCAGCTCGTCATTTTTTACTGCTGAATCATAAAGCCATGTGATTTGCCAGAGGAGAAGCTGTTAGGAGGCTGGGGAAAAGTACTAAATTGGAAAGTAACATGAGGAAGAACTCAAGGCCACTATTGAGCTGCAACTTCTTTTTGAACGCGCCCCTGGGTCATTATATTGACAACTATGCAGAAACTGTCAAAAAATGAAAACAAGTCAAAGTCAGCACAGAATGACAATGCTGCCTGCGTACTGTGAGTTTCAACCGTAATCAGGGGAGCCATGACCTTAACCCTGGTTTAATGGTGGATCAATATGGTCAGCTACACCTGCAGCATAAGTCTCGAACAAATTGAGAAAATATCATACTATCTATAAAAGCTGACAGAATTATGAGCCACTGTAAATGAAAAGTAGAGCGAGTGAAACTATCTTTATAGTGCGTTTACTGCAGGGTTGGAATTGCCACCTGGGTGATCAGTGATACGGCACTATCATTAGCCTTGTGTTTTCTAAGTGAATCCCCTGCCCTGCACAATTAGCAACACAGCAGTATGTAGAAAATTGTATAGTCTCTCTTTCACTGTGATATATAGGAGACTTCCCGAGGAGGAAATGAACATTTTTCAAGTTCTAATAAAGTCTCTCTTCCCTGTTGCTAAACTCCCCAGAATACTGCAAAGCATTTCTGGGTTTTATTAGAAAAACAGGTCTCTCAAACTGAGGCGCTGTTGCTGTTTTGCTCTGTGAGGGCAAAATTATTTTTCTTTGCAAACCACTACGTAGTTTGTCAAAACCAATATGACTACAAGACTAATGACGAAAACAACTGGGTAACAAGGGACCCTTAACCTGCAGTATTTTTTGGTTTTGGTTAATAAATCCGCACCACCTCAGAAACATATGCATAATTAGTAGAGGTCAACCGATTTATCAGTCTGGCCCATTAATTGCAGCCGATAGGTTTACAAACTATCGTTATCCGATAATGGCCGATGGCTGCGCAGCCTCCAACAGTCATGCTGGGACGTACATCACTGACCAAAGCTTGAGAGGGGAGGGTTGTGCTGGGTAAAAAAGGAGGTGATCAGTGGGTACAGCTCCACAGAGAGGAGGTCCCTTCTGCTGTGTGACTGTGTCTGAGTGTACCGATCTTTATTTTAACATGTGCATTCATATTCATTAACTGCAGCAGCGGATGCAGCACTACGGCAAATTAAATTTATTTTTTTTTCAGCCTGTCAAATATAAATTACAAATATTCATTAATTAGTAACTGAAATGCATATTTCAAATAAAAGTAAGAGACATACTACCCATTTGTGATCACTGCAAAGTCAAGGTAATGTTATTGTGTACCTGAGAATCTCTAAGGAAATTTTAAGGAAAATGAATAACACCAAAATACAAACAAACAAAACAATTTGTCAGTTAATTGTTCATTTTCAGACTGATATATTTATTTAGGTATTTATTACTTTGAGTTGGACATTCCGTGATCTAGATGTATTTATTCATCTAGGTATTACTTTGACTTAGATGTTCAGTGCAACAGTTTCCAATAAGTTTCCAATG